ATTATAATTTCATATTAAAAGTTAAATTAGACATAAGTAATTCTTTTTATGAAGAAAACAAAACATGATTTTAAAAAACTAGTTTATTTGTTGAAGAACTTCAAAAGTTAACATATGAAGACATTTTTTAAACTATGGTAAACACTGTGATGGAGCAAAATGTTAATCTGTGCTTAATTTTAAAAAGATAATTTTTAAAATGTTAGCCAGGTGCTGGTGGCTCATGCTCGTAATTGTAGCTACTCAGGCGGCTAAAGTCTGAGGATCACAGTTCAAAGCCAGCCCAGGCAGTAAAGTCCCTGATATTCTTATCTCCAATTAACCACTCAAAATTTGCAAGTGGAGCTGTGGTTCAAAGAGGTAGAACTCTAGCCTTGAGCAAAAAAGCTCAGGGACAGTGACCAGGCCCTGAGTTCAAGTGCCATGACCAAAGAATAAAATTTTGTTATGAAAACAGGAAAGAGGTAGGAGCAACCTAAGAGTTCAGCCACAAATAGTTGCTGAACTACACACACACACACACACACACACACACACACACACACACACACACACACACACACACACACACACACCACGCCCATGCATGGAAGCATTCACTCACTCATTCACATAGGAATATTATTCAGCCTTAAAAAACAGAATATAGGGGCTGGGAAGGTGGCTTAGTGGTAGAGCACTTGCCTTGCATGTCTGAGGCCCTGGGTTCAATTCCTCAGCACCACATAAGCAAAAAAGAAAAAGCTGGAAGTGGCACTGTGGCTCAAGTAGTAGAGCGCTAGCCTTGAGCTGAAGAGCTGAGGGACAGCGCCCAGGCCCAGAGTTCAGGCCCCACAACCAGACCCCCCCCCAAAAAAAACCAGAATATATTTGGCTATATGCTGCATGGATGAACTTTGAGGATACCATATACAGAGAAATAAGCCCGTCACTAAAAGATAAATACTGTATTATCCCACTTAAATCACATAATTAGAATACTCAAATTAGTAGAAACATAAAGTAGAATGGTGTTTGTCTGAGCCTAGGGGAAAGAAAGAATGGGTGTCAAGGTTTAATGGGTAGAGTTTCAGTTTTGCAAGACATAAAGACTGCAGATAATTAGTGATGATGATTATACAAAAATATGAATGTACGTATACCCACTCATACACTCAAGCCCAAGGGATCTGATTTCCCAGAGTGCAAAGACTCCAGAGGATAAACTTTAGCTGTCCACTCTGTAACACAGATCCTGCTACCTGATTGGTAAAGCAGAGGGGACCTGAGGCATCCAACTGTGTAAAGACTTTCATATTTAATGACTATTTAATAAGTATACATGTTTACAGTGTTTTTGAATGTAGGTGCCTTGTACCTTCTCCCCAGAGAGACTATCCAAACTTTAAATGTTGGATCTCTAAGGGCTTGGAAGCTGCAAACTGTTTTCTCTTGGCTTCATCAATGTTCATTGATTATTCAAACATTTATTTCCTTCAATCTGGTAAGTCAGTAACTACTCATCTCTCCAGCTCCCAGAAATGTTTTGCCATTTAATCAAATTTCTTCACTCATCACTATTAAAAAAATGTTTTACCCTATCAAATTAGCCCTTGACAAAAGTAAACATGTATGTTCTATTACCATCTTTATCAGAGGCCTACAGCACTTTTTTTCCATTTCTATTTTAGAGGGTATTCATTAGCATATTCCAGAATTCTTCCTGGATATTTCTGTCCTTCAAATAGCTACCAATGTATGTTGATGATTATGCTTTACTTCTAATACATATACAAAGGTCTCTTTCTCTCACAACCTCTCTCTTCAGAGGTGTTAGGGTTTTGAATTCAGGGCCTTATGCTTCCTAGCTTTACTCCACTATGACACCCCCCTCCCTCCATTTTGTTTTATTTTTTAAATCAGTATTGCATTTATGACCAGGTTGGCATGGACTATGCTTTCCTTTTTATGCTGTTTTGCACAACTGGGATTGCAAGTGCATGCCATGATGTCTAGATTTTTTTATTGGTTAAGATGAGATCCTGTAAAAATTTTGCCTAAACTGTTCTTAATCCAAGATCTTCGCAGACCAGTAACCAGGATGACAGAGGTGCACCAATGCAGCAGACCTAAGGTTCCCTAAACACTAGGTAAGATGTATTTTTCTTGCAGTGTAATAGAAGAATCATGGTTTTTAGTTAGAGAAATATGAGTATAAAGCCCCTTGTTACTTAATATCAATATGTCTAATAAAATAACCCTTGGAAATTGGCACATAATTAACCATCATTTTAGTTATGTCTTATACGAAAACAACTGAAAGGTAAAAGACATCATAAAAGCATATCGTTCTTTTTTTCTCCAATGGCCACTTTTTAGCTATAAGTTCACCTATAAAGTGACAATCAACAGGTATAAACAAAGTTAACAAAAACCTTTAAAGAAGACAAGAGAAGTTCTCTCTGGGCTTCACAAAACTTAACAAATGAGCCAATTTCCAAAAAGACAATTTGCCACTAGATACCAGTGCTCTGTAATCCTAACTAGTCATGAGGCTTGAGGCCAGCATGGTCAATAAAGTCCATGAGCCTCTTACCTCCAATTAACCAGCAAACGCCACAAGTGGTATGGCTCAAGTGGCAGAAGGACAGCCTCAAGTGAAAAAGCTAGAAGAGAGTGCCCTACTCCTGAGTTTAAGCCCTAGTATTGGCACAAAGGAAAAAAACAATAAAAGAAAGTTATCATAAATACAAACATCATCTATACATGTCTATATACTTTTGGTAATTAGTCCTGCTTTATCTAATAAATAATTAAAACAGAGTCAAAATATCAAATTCACTAAACAATTTTCTTCAAGAGGATTTTTCCAGCCAGGCACTAGTGTCTCATGCTTATAATGCTAGCTGCTCAGGAGGCTGAGATCTGAGGATTATGGTTCAAAGCCAGCCTGGCAAGATATTCTGTAAAGACTCTGATCTCCAATTAAAAAACAGAAAACTAAGCCGGGCTCTGGTGGCTCACACCTGTAATCCTAGCTACTCAAGAGGCTGAGATCTGAAGACCATGGTTCAAAGCCAGTTCAAAGCCAGCCCAAGCAGGAAAGTCCGTGAGACTCTTATCTCCAATAAACCACTAGAAAATCGGAAGTGGTGTTGTGGCTCAAGGGGTAAGAGCTCATCTTGAGCTGAAGAGCACAGGGACAGTGCCCAGGCCCAGAGATCAAGCCCCACGACTGAAAAAACAAAAAACAAACAAACCTAGAAAACTAAAACTAGTGTTTTGGCTCAAAATGGTAGAGTTCTAGCTTTGAGCAAAAAATTCAGGGCAGCGCCCAGGCTCTGTGTTCAAGCCTTATGACCAAAAGAAGAAAAAGAAAAGAAGAGAAGAAAAGGAGGAAGAGTAGGAAGAGGAGAGGGAGGAGGAGAGAGGAGAAGGAGGGAGGAGACAGAGGGAAGAGGAGGAGAAAGAGGAGGAGGAGGAGGAGGAGGAGGAGGAGGAGGAGGAAGAGGAGGAGGAAGAGGAGGAGGAGAAGGATTTTCCAAAACATTTAAATTTCCTGACTGATTGAGACTTGATTAATTTAATTTTTAATTTTTATTTTATTTTATTTTTTGGTCAGTTGTGTGGCTTGAACTCTGGACCTACCTGGGTGCTGTCTCTCAGCTCTTCAGCTCAAAGCTAGCGCTGTACCACTTGGGCCACAGCCCCACTTCTGGCTTTTTCGGTTTATGTGGTGCTGAGGAATTGAACCCAGGGTTTCATGCATGCAAGCCAAGCACTCTACCACTGAGCCACCTTCCCCGCCCAAATTAAATTTTTTTAAACAGAGCTAGGAGCTTATCCTAGTGGTAGACTACATGTTTAACATGTCACAGACAGTGCAAGAGAGAGGTTAAGAAGAAGAAGAGGAAGAATTTTATAATGATGTAGATGTATGCCTTGAAAAAAGTTTATCTTTAGGTAACATGTTTTCTTACATACAACAGAAATGAGCACTTTAAAATATATTAGCTACTTCAGGGAACTATCTTTTTTCAGACATATTTGAACATTCTCTTGTAAATCATTTGAATATCAATGAAAACTTTAAGGCAGAAACCTAAGTATTTCTCTAAGGGTATGTTTTCACAAATATTACTTAATAACTCATGACAATGTGAACAAGTTTGTTTTTACATATTTTTTCCTAATATGGAGTCATCTTACTAGTTTTTCTATTTTTCAGTAGAAGCAAAATCAAACCGATAGCCTGGTGTTGGTGGCTCATGCCTGTAATCCTAATTACTCAGTAGACTGAGATCTGAGGATCTCGGGTCAAAGCCAGCCCCGGCTGGAAAGTCCATGAGACTCTTATCTCCAATTAACCACCAAAAAACTGTGACTCAAGTGGTAGAGCGCTAGTGTTGAGCTGAAGAGCGGAGGGGCAATGGCCAGTCCCAGAGTTCAAGCCCCACAACGGACAAAAAAAAAAAAAATCATAAAGATTATGTCCAGCCAGGCTCTGGTGGCTCATGTCTGTAATCCTAGCTTCGTAGGAGGATGAAATCTGAGGACCACAGTTCAAAGCCAGCCTGGACAGGGGAGTCCATGAGACACTTATCTCCAATTAACCACCAGAAAAACCAAAAGTGGAGCTGTGGCTCAAAGTGGTAGAGTGCTAACCTTGAACAAAAGAGCTCGGGGACAGCACCCAGGTCCTAAATTCAAGCCATATGACTGACAAAAAAAAAAAAAAAGATTTCCAGAGTATGACTCACATTGATGTATATTAATCAGGCAGGTAATAATTTCAATTACAAAACAAAAGTAATTTTATTTTTAAATCCTTTTAAAGCAGCATTTTCAGAATATTTAAATAATTAACCAGGAATAGAAAATATGATTCACTGTAAATGGAAATACTCAACTAGCTGGTAAGAGAAAGTATAATTTTATGCTGTAAATCTCTCCTAACACAATTCTTTTTGTAAGAGAAAAACAAATCATCCTTAAAAGCTGAATTATGGTTTGGGACTTACTGTGATCAGCGTGGTCAGTCTTGTGACATTACTGTTAAGAAACCTGCAACAGGAAGGCAGAATTAGCAATCGGCCAGATAACAGTTGAGTAAATAAGTTCAGAAATGAAAATGTTTAGAACTTTTCACTAAACTGGCATGGTACAGGTAAGACAAAATGACCTATAAAGGGTCAGTATTTATTACAGTAAATCAGACTATTGTGTTATTTGTAATCAGAGATACCCTGGGGTTTAATTTGTTTTAAAATAAATAATAGGACATCTAAGGTACATGCTTTATTTTATATTCAAGTATTTACTAAGAAGAAAATTGCTGTCTTCAATATATAATAAGTGAAGGGCATGTTTGTTTAAAAACACTTTTCTCTATGATTACCACCTCAGCTTATACCCAAAGTACCATTTACTTTAAATAGGAGAAACTGTCATATACTAGTTCTTATTAATACTGATAAAACTATCAAACAAATGAACCCTAAGATAAAGATTCAATTGTTTTTTCTTTCTTGCAATTGTTTCTAACATATGTATAAGATATTTCTTTGTTGCTTTGTTGTCCCTCCCCCACGGTATAACCCCTGCTTTCACTGTATTTGATGTTGGTATAATTTGTGGAGGGGAAGGGAAAAAACAAATCATTTAAATAGGGATACAGGGACCCATTGCAACAATGAGATGTGCAAGTCATTATGTCGAAAAACGAACTTTACAATTTTGGTGTGGAGTGGGGGGGTAAGGGGATGGGGTGGGAAGGTGGGAGATGGGAAGAGATGGGAAGGGGAAAGAAAGGAGGAGGCAACAATGCTTGATAAGAAATGCACTCATTACCTTGCCCAGGTAATTGTAACCCCTCTGTAGGTGTTTTATATAGGGGTTTTATTTATTTATTTATAAATAAATAAATAAAGCTATCAAAGAACAAAAACATCATTGAGAAGGACCCAGCATAAACTATAAACTCAAGGGAAGTTATTAATCAAGCTATTCCTATTCTATTAATGATTGTTTATTCCCCAAAAATCTGAGCTTTCAAAACTTTTTTAACAAGATTTCACTATAAATGATCTCTTAAATGTTTTAATGTTAAAAAGTAACACACTGTCTATGTTTTAATGTTTTAAGGTTCATAATGGGTTTTCAAATAATAACTTGTTGAAATAATTTTTTCAGAGAAGCAGAGAAAAAATATTTCTTCTTCTACCATAACTCTGGGAAAAGAAAACATAAGAAGCATGACTTTTCCTAGCACACGTAACTGAATTGTTCTTGGTTCCTGTTGTGCCTCATACATTCCATCTAACCTATTCTGCCAACTATTCCTTCTCACTCTGGCCTTTATTTTAAAACTGTATTGCTACCAGGCACTGGTAGCTCATGCCTATAATTCTAGTTACTCAGAAGGCTGAGATGTGAGGATCATGGTTTGAAGCCAATCAGGGCAGCAAAGTCCATAAGACTCTTCACCAATTAACCACCAAAAAGCCAGAAGTGGTGCTATGGCTCTAGTGGTAGAGTACTAGCCTTAAGTGAAAAAACTCAGGGACAGTGCCCAAGACATGAGTTCAAGCTCCAGGATCAGCATACAAACAAATAAACAAAAAAAATTGCATTACGGTCTACTGCCAGTGGTTCATACCTATACACAGGAGGCTGAGATCTGAGGATTAGAATTTGAAGCTAACCTGGACAGAAAAGTCCTAGTATCTCCAATTAACCAGCAACAGGCCCAAGTACTGAAACAACAAACAACAACAACAACAAACTTATCACTGTTTGTTATCTTACTAGTTCAAGATACTGTTCCCCTATATTAACATTACAGATTCTGTACTTCTATTCTTAACACCATTGAAGACAAAGCAGATCCTATCACTCAATCTCTTACTCAAAAAGCTGCACAGTTTTTCTTATTTTTGAAGTGATGGGAGCCCAAGACAGGTCTGATAAATGCTGATCTACATTATACCTTTATTGTTCAAAACACCACAGGTTTTAGCATCATTTAGGATAAACTAATTATCATAGCTGAACCCTGACTACATCTCCTGTCACCCGCTTTTTACCCTGCTCTAGTCAGTCAAAATAATCTTGACAATCCCCAGACCTCAAAACAACAACAACAACAACAACAACAACAAAATCATCATTGTCCCATTTTAGAGCCTAGACACTTGGAGTAAATGTTCTCCATATCTTTAGAATACTAGTTCTCTCATTTATTATGATCCTTTACCAGTAAATATCGTTAGCTGGAATTTCCATGAGGGAAATTAACAGGAGCACTATTTTAGAAGCTGGAACCCAACAAACAACTGCTCAGTAGCTAGCTGTTGAATGAATGAATGACTGAATGAATGGGTATCTGAAGAGTTCCTACTGTGTCTATCACTATGCCAAGAGCTACAAAGCATTTAAAATCTTAATAAAACCCAATGTTTACCATCTATCTAGAGAAAAGAAACTATTTACATTCAGAAGTTACTACAGATAGAGTTTCAGAAGCTGAGAAGAGAAGAGAAGAGAGAAGAGAGGAGAGGGGAGGGGAAGAAAGAAGAGAGGGAAGGGGGAGGAGGAGAAAGGGATGGGGAGGGGAGGAGAGGGAAGGGAAGGTCGGGGAGGAGAGGGAAGGGAAGGGGAGGGGAATGGAAAGGAGAAAAGGAAAGGAGGAAAGGCAAGGGCAAGGGCAAGGGAGGGTAGGGAACAGCAAGGGAGAAAGAAGCAACAGAGGATAGGAAAACTGTGTTTGTGAATTACAGGTATGAGATGGCGTAGGTCTAGAGTTTCCTCCACAGAGGAAATTAGAAGGCCAAATACATGTTAAATGAAGAAACACTAGGGCTTTCTGTTAATTAAGTACCAGGAACAGGATAGAAAGAGAAAGATTACCTCAAAAGTACTCACAGGATACAAGAAACACCCAGTGTTGGGGTGGGGTAACTTATTCTAGACAGCAAGTTAAGGTCAGTGTTGTAATGGCCATTTAAATGGAGATGCTAAGGAAAGAAATAGGTATTTAGAATATTTAGGACCTGACAATCATACGAAAACATAGTTCAAAACAAGAGTGTGGGACAAGTTCAGCAAAGCACTATAGAGAACATAATATCTAACTGAATCTAAAGGATACTTATAAATAAGAATTATGGGGAAAATATGTATTTTAAGTAAAAAGAAGAAGAAGAAGAATTAGAAGAGAAATAGATACTAACCAAAAGCAAATGAGAGATTATTTCAGGAGGAGAATATTTGTGTCCGTTTTATTTTAAACGGACACAAATATTCAGTGGAGATGAGTCTGAGAATATATTCTCTGGAAACTAACATTTTCTAAATAAACCACATCAGAAAGTAGATGCCACATATTACAGTTCCTTTTGTGCCTAAAGAACTGTTTTCAGTGAATGAATTGCCTGGCATTCTGTTTTCCATTTCAAAAATATGGGGGAAAAGTGTGATTTTATAAGTCATTTCAAGAATCTTCTGAAGGAAGCAACTGTACTTTGTGCTGTACTCTTGTCACTCACAACAGGAATTAAAATTTTGTAAATAACTTGTGAGATCCTGAATTCAATTCCCACTACTAAAACAGCAACAATGAAAACTGTAAATAGTCTCATTCAAACAACATTCATAACTGGATAAAAAGAAGTAAATGTTCACTTCCACTCTTGTTTTTATTTTGAAAAATATTATGCCTATAGATTAAAAAAACAAAATGATGATGACTGTGTATATGTATCTATATATATATATATTCATATATGTGTATGGATCCATGTATGTTTGTGTATGTGCACTTAAAACCTTAACGCTTCTTCCATGTGAAGCTGCCTCCTTTAATCTCAGTTATTAAAGAGCAGAGACAATGAAGACCAGGGTTCAAAGGCCAGCCCAGGCAAAAAGTTAGCAAGACCCTATCTCAATTAATAAGTAGGGTAGTAGAGTATGCCTTAAGTCCCAACTCTGAAGCAGGCATAGGTAGGAATATGGCAGTCTGAGGCTTGCTCCAGGCAGAGTGAGACCTAACTGGACGCGTGGCTCAAGTGGTGGAACACTTGCCTACCAAGTACAAAAAGCCCTCAGTTGAAGCTCCAATACTGGAAAGACAACAACAACAACAACAACAAAACCCACACATATACCCACTAAAGGCATTCCTTCCTTAAGACAGCAGTTTCTACGTATGCCTGAACCACATGCTTGTGACGGAATGAGAAAAAAAAAAAAGTGAAATTGAAATGACTCCTGAAGATATAGCCAGAGAAATAGAAATATTAAAGCTTCTCATAAACATTTGAAATGGCTTTTATAAACAAAAGCAATTCTTTAAAATCATGTTGGAACTAGGACATGTATTCAAATTACCTATATAAGAAGCAATGTTAGATTTTATGAAAACAGAATTCAACTAATATATTGGTTATATGCTACTTCTTTATTTTTTTGTTGTTGTTGTTTTTTGTGGTTTTTTTTTTTTTGCCGGTCATGGGGTTTGAACTCTGGGTCTGGGCGCTGTCCCTCAGCTCTTCAGCTCAAGGCTAGCGCTCTACCACTTGAGCCACAGCGCCACTTCCAGCTTTTTCTGTTTATGTAGTGCTGAGGAATCAAACCCAGGGCCTCACGTTTGCAAGGCAAGCACTCTACCACTGAGCCACCTTCCCAGCCCCATGCTACTTCTTAAAAAGCCACTATTTTTAGTAAATAGACACAGAGAGACTCTACTGTATTTGCAGAAATAGCTACCCATGTTTCCTACTTCTAGCTGTGGGAAAAGAAAACCTTAAGTCATGACATTCTGTCCTGGATATTTTTCCAGTAATTACCATGTACTATTTCTATTTTTACTCTGACTCTCACCCAAAACAGACAGTCTTTTACACATAATCAATTTTAATATGTTCTCTTAACCTTTATGTCAGTTTCCATATCTACAAAGTACAAATATTTATCTCTACCTAATTCACTGAAAAAAAATTAAATAATCTTACCTAATTAGTCTTAAATTGAATTAAATAAAAAGTTAAATTCATTTAAAGTAATAA